CCTTTGGTCGCTGACCAATGGCAAATCATTCCTGTTAAGGCAAACTGTAGCCATTTCTCCTTGTCATTCTTGGAAGAGCATTCTTCTTATCTTGACAGAATAGTCTATATTATGTTTATATTTGCTTGATCTAATACACTTTTTGTATTTTGCAGAATGGGATTAACACTGCATCAAACTGGACATGGACACAGTCATGGAGGAGTAAATTCACACTCTCATTCACACTCTCATTCACACAGCCACGGAGAACTAAATAATCCCAGTGTCCGAGCTGCCTTCATTCATGTCGTAGGAGATTTACTGCAAAGTCTTGGTGTCCTTGTTGCTGCCTATGTCATTTATTTCAAGGTAATTTCCTGCTAATTTTTAAATCCTTTCTGTATATGTGTCAAGTGTAGAGTAAATCCCAGCTCCAGCCAAAACTTGATTTCGCTTGATATGATTTTTACTTCTGTCTGTGTCCCTGTTGGGGATTTTTCCTTTGCTTCCTGTTGAGAAAGGAAGAGATTTGCCATCATTTCCTTTCTCAACAGGGACACAAACATTTTTGTTACAGTAGGGATAACTGGGAACCTCTGGCAGTGGTTTTTATTGCCATCACCATCTTCCTGCCCCAGAACCACTTCAGCTCCTCTTCCTTCTGTGGTCATCACTGGTATTGAGGGAGTCTCCAAAACTAAAAAAAGCATTGGCTGAAGTTGAACTTTAAAGCCTATGTCAAAGCAAAATAAAACCTATGCAGTACATATCTGCAATACATGCATTTTTCCCATGTTGTATCCCTTTTAAAACACTGCGTGTACAGAAAAATACCTGTTGATATCGGCTCGTAATTTCCGGTTTTGCACTGAAAACAAGTAGCCCTGCCCAGTGTCTTTTTGCTAAAATAATTAGACCCACCTACTCTCCCATCTCTACAACATAAAGACTTATCATTCTGTAATCCAAGATGAGCACTAGGACAACTATTTGAGATAACACTGGAAATTTGAAGAGGACACAGGGTGGCTTTGAAGTTCTGACGAGCAACAGGTATTTCTCACTTATCAAACAGATGTATAACAAAAATGCTTTCAATTATATATTAAACAGACCAAAAGGGAGCAAAGAAATGAAGTCCATTGTTCAGGTTTATATACATTTTAATAACCTTTCAACCAGCCAGTTACATAAATTCATTAGAATAGAAATAGAAGGGAGGGAAAAAATTATCTAGGCAAGGAGTTGATAAACAATCGTGTATCCAGGGAGAGTGATTGATTCCTAACTGCATGCAATCCTTTTACATATAATTACATGCGGTGTGCAGGCGTTTACATACAGCAGCTGTCACCATCATTAATTTGAATCGGTGACAGTTGCCGCTTGCAACATGTGCATACGTTAAAACTGGTACCGTATGTAGTAGCGGCCCCCACCGGACTAATGTGTCCAGTGGCCCCCGACTAAATTGAGTTTGAGATCTCTGATGTAAAGTGTTGAAGGGTAGCCCAAAAATGAGTAAGTAGTTTTCTAATTAACGTGCAGATGCGAGAAACCTGTTTTTATAGTGAAGTATACTCGTAGTGGAAGATTCAGGTGCTTCAGTTCCAGAAGACTATGTATAAAATTTTGCCATTCATTGCAATCCATACACAATGATTGGATGGAAGACCATTAATGACCTGTTGAACAATACATTCTAAGTAGTGTGTACAGAACAGTGTGTTTTGCGGTACCATATATATTATGAATGAGGCTTAGAGATGTGGAAAATGGGAGCAGTAACAGAAGAAATGTTTAATGTGATTTATTTAGACGTGGAACTCTCCTGTTATACATTGGTATAGGTGGTACAGAGAGTATACTATTAGGGTGACTCATGCTAATTGGTAATTCTTCTTTTTTTTTATCAGCCAGAGTATAAAATCATAGACCCCATTTGCACGTTTCTATTCTCTGTCCTAGTTTTGGGAACAACCTTGGCCATTCTCAGAGATGTCCTTCTTGTGCTCATGGAGGGTAAGTGATGCTAATGGCATCCTAACAATGGAACCAGAAATGAGATATAGTATGTGTCCCATGAGGAATGATGGTAAGTTTTCTCTTGCACTTATTCATACAGGTACTCCTAAAGGCGTGGACTTCAACATGGTAAAGGACACGCTGCTTTCTATAAATGGAGTGAAAGCTCTTCACAGCCTCCATATCTGGGCTCTTACAGTGTCCCAGCCTGTCCTCTCTGTTCACATAGCAATAAGTAAGTTACCAGACTTTCCAGCACTATATATGATTGCTTCTTGGCTTGTATCAATGTAGATTAACAGGCTTATTTGATAAACTTCCAAAAAATCCATAGTGACTATTCAGAACTGTTTTTTAAAACATTTACATGAATGGACTGTTGTGATTGGTTGTTATGGGTACTGTATTTTTTACTTTGCCTTTGTGCTGTTTATTGAATAAACACATAATGTTGACTGTGTGAGGCTGTGAATTGAACATTTTGTTCCTTTTGTGTGCTTTATAATTTAAACATTTTACATTTTTAAAAATCTTTTTTAGTGCGTCGCTGACTTATTTAAACACTTAAAATGTATGCCAAGGCAAAACAAATGTAGTACATTTCTGCAAAACATTCACATTTTTCCTGTGTTTTACACTGCAAGTACAGAAAAGTATATGCTGATTTGCCAGAAATGCATTTGGCTCTTAAGCCCTGTTGTGCACTGAAAACATGCAGCATTTTTGTGGATGAAGTGGTGTCAGCTCTGCCCATTGTCTGTCTTTTGCTAAACTACTCAAACACTTTCACTTTAAGATCTCTACAACATGTAGGCTAATCATTCTGTAGTCCATGATAAAAACTAGGAGGGCACTTTGAGATAACACAGGAAGTATCCAGAGGGCACAGGACAGGGTTTTTAATTTTTTTTAAAATTTGGTTGCATCTATCAGATATAACAAAATGCTTCCAAAGGTATAATAAACAAGAGAAGGTAATTAACAATGTTTTTTTTAAATAATAATGAGAGTTTATTAAAGTGACATTAAGGGCAAAAGTGCCTCCCCCCACAGTGCTAATGTAAGCACTTACCTTAAATGATGCCTCTTTATTCGATCATCTTCTTCTTTCCTGTCGTTTTTAGCTGTCCCTCCTGCGCTGGTGCGGGTCTCCGATCCAGTGCCGACTCCTCTGTCGTCCTCATGTCCCACGGAGTCTGTGCGGGTGCACGCTGCTCCATATATGTACCTTGTGTCTCTCCTCGTCTCCCGGCCGAACATCTGAACTGCGCATGTTCGGACAGGAGTGCGCGGCAGAGACACAGTATTGACCCTTTTAAAAAAAAATCATTTTGCATATATCTACTGCTTCCTAGCATTAGATACAGTATATGCAAAAACATGCAAGGGTTTATTAACCCTTTAACTTTTCAGAATTAAGTAACACATAGAAAAAGTGCTAAACCCATTTCAAAGTCTATGCAATCCATCCCAAATGTGCAATAAACAAAAGGTGACACCCCTCCAAAATATACACAGCAGAAATAAAATACAGTAAATGTAGTGTCTTGGCACCTGTTACTGTGCGATTACCCCTGGCAGCAGACACCATAACAGGGGGACTTCAGGCAAGTAGTAGTGGGAGAACGTAAAGAAAGGGTACATACCTTTGTCGGGGAAAAAAAGCAAAGAAAGAGAAGCAAGGCCATAATGAGGAAATGTGGTAGAAACCCAAGAACGGTAAAGTATAAATATAGAGAATAATAAAGATAAGGAGGAGGATCAATAAATGGATAAGGATAAAGATAACCCCATGTGGTCCAACGAAGAAATAAGCAACCCATATTAGGAACACTACATGGCACAAGGGATAGCTCAGAATCAGTAACCCATAGGAAGAGAAGAACAGCTCGTTCACAAAGCTAGAAATGCATCAGTACCCATATACAAAATCCAAGGTGCCCATAGATCAGCACGTTGTGGCCGACGGTCATGGATATGAGTCGAGATTTAACCAAATTTTTATGAAACACTGTTGGTAGCCATCCTATATGCTTTTTGACTTTTCTTTTTTGAGGGACTGTTTTTCTGTATCTGCAGCAATGTTGAGTACTTTGGCTATAACTGGTGCCTTAACCTGTTAGAAAGCTGCTTGCAGATACAATTCTTACCAGTCAGCTGGTGCTGGACACATGGTTGAGCACTTCTTGTTTTACAGGGAAACAGGAGCACAGAGACACGAAATTGCATCATAACTAGAGGTGCACCGAAATGGAAATTTCATAACGGAAATAAAAAAAATTGTCATGCCAAAACCGAAAATGTTGTTTTTTACTTTTAAGAAATTTTTTTTTTTTTTAATTAAATATTTATTTTTATTTTTTTACTTTACTTTCAGGGGGCTCCTCCCCGCTGGGCGCTGCTCAGGGATGCGCCGCTGTATCGGCAGAAAAAGGGCACTTTCGGCATTTAGCTAAAAGTGCCATTTTCGGCCAATATATCGTTGCATCCCTGACCATAACCGTTCCACTAAGAAGAACAATACATTAAACATTATACTACCACCCAGTAGCGGATCTACGAATTACAGTGTAGTACTGTATGTATATGTTGTGGTCATAGATAGGTGTTGCATATGTGTGCTGCTGTCCTATTCATTTCTCTTTTTGGGTAGTGCAAAGAGTTGGTGGATTTGGATACATAGAAGAGCATATATACCGTATATAAAAGTATATAAAATGACATGGGGTCATTGCCTATCCAGTTTATTCCCTTGTGAATGTGCCACTGGTTTAGGGAGACTCTATCTCTTCGTTTGATGGTTCATTTATTTATTTATTTTTATCCTTTTATTTCAGATGAAGATGCAAACTCTCAGATGGTACTGAAAGAGGCCAGTTCTCACCTTCAGAGCAAATTCCATTTCCACACGACTACGATCCAGATAGAAAATTATTCAGAAGATATGAGAGATTGTCAAGAGTGTCAGGATCCAACAGACTAAGGATTATTTGGACCATACACTATGTACATGAAGTGGTATTCAGCTGAACATGGAGCTAAGAACCGTCTCCTCTGTGAGTGCTCCTAAGCAGATGACGTCATGCAGTCTTCATCATGAGGGTGCATAGCTTGTCTGAGGATTCTGCAGAGGACAGAACTGTACTTGGGATACTGTTAGTTATCATCCAAGATCTTTCTTGTACTGGTTTACTCCAGAAGATCAGTAGCGACAACCAACTGTGGTCAGGGTGCTTTTTGTTTCCCACACTTTGCAGACTTTTGCACATAATTAAGGAGTAAAACTCTTTGTGCTAACTAGAAAAAAATAAAAACATTTTACACGATGTTTTGTACAGCTGAACATTTTGTCTATAAAGTAAAATCAAAAAGAAGATTAAAGCAGAAGGATAGTCTATATTAAAAGATAACATTAAACAAGTTTTTTTATGCAATATTCGTTTTCAATCCAGAGCTGTCTCCCATAGCACTTCTTTTCTGCCACTAGGTGTCTTCAGTCTCCTGAGTTGAATGAGAGCCAACATCAATCAACCTTGTCCCTTTGGGCCCAAGCTGTCATGAAGCCACCCCCAGCCTGTGAGTGGTCAGGGAAGGACAAGCAGTACAATGATGAGCTCCTCTCTTGTCACTATATTTCTTGCGCTAACATGAAGGAGGAGAAAACAAATTAGCTCCTCCTCCACTCTTGGGTCCTGCTGTACAGGGACTACCAAGTCAAATTCAAAGATTTGACTCTGCTTGCATAAAAAAAAAAAAAATGCAAATCATGCTGTATTAATCTATAAAGCGCTGTAGTTATTTGTTCCTTTTATAATCCACCTGGAGTTCTTCTTCAAGTTGGAAGGGTTACAGGCCTTTCCCAAAAGGTTGCCACATTTTACTACTTGAATTCAGAGAACAAATCAATAGCCTTTAACTCTGTATTAAGCAGAAGAATTTCACTTTATGATTAAGAAATGAACATAGCTGCAGAGTTGATTATGGCTTGAGTAGTTGAAATAGTTTTCTGTTCTTTTTCTGTGGAATTCAAGCAACATTCTAGGCAGATGTTAGAAAACTCCATTTAATTCAGGTATGGAATTGCTTAAAAAAAAAAAATCATTAAATACAGGAACCCTGGTTCAGAATTGTATTCAAGTGGTATAAGGTCCTAAGACTGCTGTATAAAGTCTATCCCCAGTGCTCGCACATCTGTTGGAGGTGTCAGGAGCATGAGAGCACTATGCTCCATACCTTTTGGAACTGTCCTAATTTGCAGAGGTTTTGGGGGACAGTGCAGGATGTTGCGGGTAAGCTCACTGGCGTACAGCTTTGGACAGATCAAAAGGCATGTCTCTTCCATTTGGCCCCTCGTTCTGTAAAACGGTACAAAAATAAATACTATGGAAGATTTGAGTGCTGGCGAGGCCCAAGGCAGAAGCAGTTTCTAACACTTGGTTTTATTGGAACAAATTAATTTTTACTTCAGAGTTTTGTGCTCTATTAGCAGCATAAAGTCCCCGGTGGCACTTTGATACTCACCAGTGGTGGGGGGTGGTGTGGCAATTCCCTAATTTCTTATGCTGATGTACCTTTCCCTCATATTCTCTCTTCTTTGTGTATTTGCTCTCGACCTTGTGGTCTTGCTTGTTTCTTTTTATCTTCTGTGTCCTTTTTTTAATGGTCCCACAGGATGGATCTTTTTTTAAGATCTCCCACTTTACCCACATTGTCTTCTGGTCGATTCCCTTCTGGAGATGTGATTATTTGGGCTAGCATTTTTCAGATTTGGCCCCCTACTTATGGAGTGTTAGTGCAATAGAATGCCTCTAGTAACCCCCAGTACAAATATATGAGATGTGTGCTGTTCAGAGGTTTTTCCATGGACCTTCTGGTTGGTCTGTTTGGTTATGGGTTGGCTGTTCTGGCTTGCCTTATAAGCACAGTTGGCAATGTATAGGAGCATGGTTTCCTTTTTACTTTTCCTGTATGTATTGGATTCCTAGCTGTCTTGATTTCTTATTGCTGTCACTGAAATTTAAAAACTAAGAATTTAAAATAATAATTAAATGCATTTTTATTATTGGTGGTATATTCTGTAATCTACTGCACTAATAAAGAGAAGAGAGATGTCCTGATCAATATGGTGCTACTCCTTATTTGTACAATCACTGGCCAAGATGTGTCCCAGACCAGGCTGTATTGCTTGTCTGCAGAGGGGTCTGTGGAGTGCAGGACTTGTCTATTTTGTTGGGATGGGTGTCTGGATCACTGATTGGCTAGAATAACAAATCTTTTGGCGGTTTATACACTCTCTCTATATATTGTAAGCACAGTTGAGATCTGTATTTGAGCGTGGTTTCATTTTTTACCTTTTCCTGTATGTATTGGATTCTCAGCTTTGTTATTGGCTGTCTTGATTTTCTTATTGCGGTCACTGAAATTTTAAAATTAAGTTTAAAAAAATCATTAAATTTATTTTTATTATTTGTATATTCTATAATCTACTACACTGATAAAAAGAGAGATGTCCTGATCAATACATTGCTACTCCTTGTTTTGGGAAGAATGTCTGGATCAGTGGCTGGCTAGAATAACAAATCTTTTGGACATTAATACACTCTCTTATATATTGTGACATTTGGCTTCAAACAGCTCTCCAGAAACTTGGGCCACTCAAAAAAGTATGTTTTATTGCTCCTGCCAACTTTTACTCATCAACAGACATATCATTACACAAGAGGTACCTTCTGAGTTTCCCAGCATCACATATATACGAAGTAAGTATTCAGCCTCCTAGTAAATTGGTCTGCTTAGACCAGTGGTAGGCAACCTTAGCACTCCAGCTGTGGTGAAACTACAAGTCCCATCATGCTGCTGCCTCTGGGAGTCCTAGCTGTGGCTGCCAGTCTTGCAATGCCTCTTGGGACTTGTAGTTCTACAATAGATTGCCAAGGTTACCTATCCCTGGCTTAGACCCTCAGCCTATTTTAGCAAAGTCTGAACTTTTCCAAACCTGAAACTCAGAACTAGTGTTAGTCTGCTGTTAATCAAGAAAATGCACCATTAGGATTTACCACTACATTCAGAGCATCCATTACTTAAAGAAAAATATAGGGATTGCAGCATGCTTTGGCTGAATAAAGTTGGATGACTGAGTGACATCGCAGTGTGGCCATTTGTTCTCTTCCAGATATTGCACATGGAGCATGGACTGGCTCCTCTCTGGCCTGGCACATATTTAAAATTCCAAGGAAGAAATCAGAGCTTGGACTTAAAACTGTTTTTTCTAAACTTGTTAATTTTATGGTTTAAACATTTTTTTTATATATATATATTAGTGACAACGAAAACTTGAAGAAAGTGTGGCTTTTAAGGTGTCACTCTAGGCATGAAGAACACACTTGCCTACAAACAAATCTTGATTAAAAATGTTGATTAATAACATCTATATAAAACATACATATTCCGGAATCATTGGAATTGTTTGTATCAGCCGCAACTCCCTCGATACAGTGGTGTCTAAAATGGCTTAGGTATTAGGCCTCCCTGGACCCCAAGAACTTTTTCGATGCATAAACAGAATAATAAGTGATTTTCCAAACATCAACTTCCTCATGAATATTAATTCATCACATAGTGTCATTGCAATTATTATCCTAAAATCTTGCATCGATGTGCTGTGGGTCCAGCCTTCTACCTGTTTTCGCCAAAGCTTGCTCCGGAAGATAAGAGGCAGCCTATAATGTTTACATAGCAAGTTCTTATTGATTGATATTATTCAAAGGACAAAGGTTGGGAGAGGGGTGGTTATGCTGTCCAGTTTGTTTTAGCTGTAAGAAGAAAAAAAAAAGATGTTAAACCTAATCTCATGGACATGGGCAATTCTAGTCTTGTGTTGCTGCCAGAGATGAATTCTAAGAATGGCACCCCCACTATAAAAGTGTCAGGAATTGCTGCACCATTGTATAAAATAATAAGTGATGTAGTGCTGCCAGAGAACTAACAAAGGCTTTCCTGCCTTAGTATTCTGCCCGACATGCACTTGGTACTACTTCTGTGCAGAGGTCACTGCAGAGGGACAGACAGCATGAGCTGCAACATCACAGGGACAACGCATAGGGCTTATTTAAGAAAAATATTCAAAGAATGTTTGCTTGTTGCTCATAGCAACCAGTAGGAATCCTTATTCTACTTTTAGCTTTTCAGAGCAGGAATGACAGATGCTGATTGGTCCCTGTACGTACGGTAATTAGAAATCTGGCTACAAAATGTATGCATGTATACCTTTGCAGCAGTCATGGAATCCTACAGTTTGTAAGCCCTCACCAGAGCTGTAGCTAGCCTATTTTGCGCCCGAGGCAAGAACAGAAAATTGTGCCAACCCCCCCCGATGTTTTTTTGAGGAAACTAAATAAATAACAAGGAATTAATTATATTTAAACCGTTTATTTCAGTTACATAAGAAACATAAAGATATGTAACTTAAAGGAGAACTATGGGGTTAGGGCTTTTCCCCATAGTTCTCCTTAGGGTAACGGGAGGACACAAACTAGCGTCCTCCCGTCACCCTAAGCTCAGTATACCGCGAACTATAGCTCGCGGTATACTGAGATGCCGCAGCCAGAGTGGATCCCGACATCGATGTCTGGATCCACCCAGCTGCGTGACTGACAGCTGGCTCTGCCTATCTAGAGGCAGAGCCAGCTGTAACCGCCCCCGTCCGTTCCGCCAGTCAGCGCTGGAAGATCGGGGAGGGGGGAATCCAGCCACTCCCCTGTCACGTCAGAGAGCCGTGACAGGATCGAGAAGTGAGCGAACGCCGGTATGTGTTCGCTCACCTCCTGATCTATTGAGCCGACCTGTGACAGTCTCATTGTCACAGGTCGGCTAGAACTATGAGGCGAGTGAAAAGCACTCACCTCATAATTCTCCTTTAACATAAATAACAACTTCATAAAATATAAACTTACAGTGTAGTTAAATAAGGTATCACAAATAGTGCTTTCAGAATTAAATCTATTTATTTGGATTGTAAACAAACTTTAAATTGAAGAATCAAAGTATTTTTCATGGTCATGTATCCCTCAGAGATGTAACCATAAGTTAATATTTATAGCAAAATAGAATAAAATAAATATAGTGCAATAATGTTGGAGGTTGTGAGAGCTAGTTCACACCAGATCCAGTCAGTTCAGGTTGGCAGCAGCATCAAAAACGCATCTAAAAGACTGGCGTGCGTGTGCAGAAACCTGACCAGATCTGCTCTGCATTTGGTGTGCATTTTTTTTAGGTTAA